CAACATGTCAGAGCGATTGCAGCGGCACATGAGTGATTGCAACAGTCTTGACATGTCAATTGTGCACATGCAGTCTCAGTTGTCATGTATATACATGTTGTGGAGTCGGCTGTCGTGCACAGTTCATGGACAAGATGCAAATACAAGCCTTGAGGCCAGATGAGGTACCGAGAACCCACCTTTGCAGACATGTTACAGACATGTTGTGTTGAAGCAAAAATGGAGACAAGGGCAAAGACCAAATTGCGCCTACCACACCTTTCAGGGTGCCTGCTTGTGATCATGACAAGAGACAGAGAACACAGAGGTGGTATACCTCAGAGCAGAGATTTTCCCATGGTTGGCATTCTCAGGAGTCAAGTTGGCAGAAGTTGGGTATAGTTCTTGAGCTAGAGATCCCATGTGCCCTCGTGGCTTTCCCAGTGTGTCCGGGTACGCATTCTGTCAAAGGGCGTACTCCTAGCAGCTTGCCTGCTAGACCAGTTGGCATGTTGGCATCAGTTGGAATCATTTGAGCAACGTTGGCATCAGTTTGACGTTGGCATTTACCCATCAAGTTGGCATCGTTGGCATAGTTGGCATTTCAAGTTGGCATTGACTGGAGTTACGTTGGCATCCCCCAGGGTCAATGTCGTTCTTGTTTTCCTTTCTGTTTTTCTTTCTGTTCTTTCGCTAACTAACTTGCGGTTGCAACTCGCCAGCCATGAGCAACTTTCTCTTTTGGAGCAGAGACAGTGCTGACACAGCAGCTATAGCAAAGGCTTTGGCTGCAACTGCCGCTGCTTCTTCCTCCTCTCCAAGACTTGTTACACAGGGCCCAGTGATTGAAGAACTTCCCCGTGCCAGGGAAGAAAACCCCAATGCCTTACCTGGCAGAGACAGTGGGGTGCCCACTATTAGCTTGGCTGATCTTCGTTCCAACCTGCCTACTCCAAGACCTAGTAGCAGTGTATCGTCAGGAGGATCATTGCCTTCGAGCGCAGGTGCATTACGTCACAACCAGATTCGACCATCATCTGCACCAATCAGCAGATTGTTTGCT